CTAAAGATAATACCATATAGTATTATTTTTGTATTATCTTTAAGATATCTATAACAAGACTGGTTTGACATAAATTATAGGCATCAAAAAAAAAAAAAAAAGAAATCGATAATTTTTGATTCTGATTGCTGATTTCTTTAACATTTTTGCTGAAATAAAAGTTGTAGATTCATAATTTTGTAACATATTTTGATTTAGCATTTTTTGTAGGAATATATTCTTCATATTGTAAAGAATTTGATCGTGTAATATTAAATTTTGTTTCTTTTCTATCCGGTAAAATTTACTATTGAATGATTAGCAAGAAGAAAATTTAAAAGCTGACTAAATTTAATCTTATAAGGATTATTACATGATATTGCTAAGGAACTTTAGTATAACTTTTTTTATTGGAATATATATATATATATTCATTACAATAAATTTTAGAAGTCGACAAAAAAGATACTTTGTGTATCCAAAGCATGTTCCGGGATAATAATTTTAGTTATTAGAAATGAATTTTTTTTTTAAAAAATGTATGCTAAATAAATATATTTAAGATTTTATATAGTATTATTAGTTGATATACATACGTCATCAGAAGTAATGGGTAATCAGAAATCAAAAATCATTGATTTCTTTTGCAAACCGCAATAAATTTCCCCGCTAAAAAAATGGTCGAATTCTCAAAATCGATAAATTCGACACCCATAATCACGATATAAATTCTATTCTTAAGACTAATATATGTGGAGTTTGTAACCATAAAATCTTTTTCACAGCAGTTAATTATTTAATTTTGCAGAATAGTTTAATCAATCAATTTCCTCCTTTCATTTTTTTACAGTTTTGTGTTTACCTTATTATTATCTTCCAAGTAGTGTTTTAACCATTTAACCCGGGTGACCCGTCGGGCTGATCCAGATAGACCGACAGGTATTCTCAGCCAATCTCATGGTCAGATATTCATTTGATTGGCTGATATAAATCAATTGCCCGGGTAACTTATTTCTATATTTTAAAGTACTTTTTTTAGAATTGAACGTTTTACTAATAAAAAATCACCACAAAAGCCATTTCCAGCTTTAAACGGATGCTAATATTCACCATACAAAAGAATCTTAAAAGAATCTTTCTTCTCGTAGACTTTGCTTAAAAGACAAAATATATTGCCATTTATTGAACCGTGTGAAATTGTAATGTACAATGAGGGTAATTGGAATAAAACTACTTTGTTTTGTAAGATTTAAATAAATCTCTTATTGATAGTTATTCAATTTGAAAAGTACAAGCTCTTTAGCATTTGAAGATCAAAGTTTAATGTTTAAATCTAGTCGCTTGGCTAGGAGTTGTCAACCATAAATTAAAGTCATTTGATGATTATGATCCGAATATATTAAATTTATACTTCAATATACTCAGATCATAATTATCATATGTTTAAAATGGTGAAAAATGTTTTTTTTTTTTTACCATTCCTAGCAATAATCTAGTTACTCGACACAAGCTTAATAGAAGAAACATTAAATTAAAGATTCTTACATGTCATGATCGAAAGTCATTTTACTAAAAAATTTAAGTTAGCATAGCCTGACATAACAAATAAAACAATCACTGTGCATTGAAGTATCAATCTAGTTAAATTAAAATATGTTCAAGCCACTACATATCGATACGTAAAATGTGTCATGAATATAGTGTATTGTGGCTAATATAGTAATTGATTTGTTTATACTGTGTTATCAGCAATTCTATGGCTTGGAATGTTTATTACATTAGTATATTTCATGTATTTATAAAAGAGTTTTGTACGCTGCCTTTAAGATACATTGGATTTTGTTTCAATATGGTATTCAAATGGAATTAGGATCAGTACAAGTGATTTCGATCAATGTTGATATTACCAATGAAAACAATGAAAACTCTAGAATCATTACAAGAATAGATTCCAATATCATTAAAAAAATAGATAAAGTTGTCTGCTCGCCAAATATGAAATATGTTGTAATTTGGAGCAAGGTCGATAATTTAGTTTGGAGGAATGATTTGTGTATATCAGTTTTGTGTAACTTCATGTACATTAATTTTTTTTAGCAGCACTAGCACCCGAAATTTTTGAATTTTGGAGATGCAGCAAATTTTATTGGCTAAAAAAAATTGATATACATGAAGTAACATGAAACTGATGTACGCAAATTATTTCTCTTTAGTTTGTGGGTGGCCAGTTGACAAATATGCAAGTTATCCTATAATTAGCAATGACGAAGATTCAAGCGATCCTATAATTAGCAATGACATTAATGAATTAATTGATGTCTTAGATCAGAATGATATTATTATCCTAGATATTAAAAATTTACATCATAAGTCTAATTACACACATCTTAACTAATCATTGATGCTCGCCAATTAGAATTAATTATTTTAAATGTAATTTATTTCGATAGAAATAGTTAATAGCAAAACAAAATCAATGCATACATTGAATTTTAAGGGAAACATTGACAAAATTGCTTTCTTTGAAGAAGGTAGAAATAATTATTTGGCAGTTGAACAAGTGATTCAGATTATCTAGTTAATATTTTTTTGAGATCAAATCTTAATAACGAATATAAATGGATACTCAAGAAAAAAATTGTTCTCGCCAAATTTTGTAGATATAATATTACTCTAAAAGAAAAATTGTTGATTCTTCAAGAACTACCTTTTACAATTTTACAATGGGATTTAAGAAATTTAGAGCTTGAAGCAGAATACATATTGGATTGGAATTTATATAAATATAAAGATAATGAAAATTTTCATTTTCTTTTAAATAGCAATAATAAACTGCTTGCTGTAATAGGAGATGCAAGATATGCAGAACATTCAGATGAAACAAAACCAGGATTGGTAACTAGTTGGGTAAAAAAAACAACTATTTATATTTATTCAAAAGAATCTAGTAAGATGTTGATAAAATGTAAGTATTAAATATATAGTCATAATTTTTTGTTAAATTATTGTACTGGTGCTGTTAAATAATATACTTTGCTAATCATGTCTAAACACTTGCAGATGCATTTGATAACAATAATCTGTTTAAAATTAACAGTTTACATTTTATTGAACTACGTAAAGGTGATCGTTTGCTTTTTAAAACTGATAGCCCAAAATATAGAATGATGAATTCACGTACTCTTGTCAATATTATAGATGCAGAAAAGCTACTTCTATTGAATAGTAATAATGTATAAATGAGTTTCTTAGAACCAAATGTTATTACTTCTAGTCATATAATAGATGTTTCTAATAATCAGTTATGGATTCAAAAATTAGTTGAGAATGAAAAGCATATTGATAAATTTTAAGATAATAGTATGGTTGATACATATTCTTGTGATGAATTTCAAGTTAATAGTTTGGTTGATACATACTCTTGTGGTGAAGAAATTAGTCAAATTACAGAACATGCAACGAACAATTCATCAAACAAGAAATATGTTGAAAGTTTATATGCATAGATTGTTTAGGTTACTAATGAGATAGAGGTGTTGCTTACAGTATGAAAATATGATCATAAAATGCTAGTATAGAATAAAATCAGGGATACGATACAGATAATCAATAATCAATATCCTATAAAGTATAAATTACTTGAAAGTGAAAAAATGATACAAATGATCTATGATAATAATCCAGATATGATACATGAAATCATTCCTGTAAAATTTAAATTACTTAGAAGCGAAGATTTAATAATGATATTATTTGGAGGAATGTATATTTGGACTGCAAAAACAGATAAAGGAATCTATTTACTTAATTATTGGGATGAACTTGTACTTTATGATTTGGAATCATATAATTCACATTTTCTCAAATCACCAAGATTTGGTCAAATTCTTAAAAACATGAATAAAACAAACATTATTATGTATAAAAACATAAGAACCAATGAATGCTTTAAATATGAAAATCTGCTAGAGTGTTACGTAGAAGATTTACAGGTTATAAAATTATACGGCAATGATTTAATGAAAGAGCTAATTGAATATGGAAAAAATATTTATTATATCAAGAAACTTTTTATGTTTGGTCTTGAGCAGGGATTATTACAGCTTAGACATAGATATATATCTATATTTATTGAATTGATAGATATTATTACTTTATCACTTTTAGAATTAGAAGAAATAGACAAAAGTTTTGACTTTACAGAATGTTTTTTGTCCAAAATGGCATTATTAATTTTTGATGATTTTAAAGAAAACTTTTTAGAAAAGAATTCTTTAACATCTTATTTTGGAGAATGTGGAATCTATGATATTAATTTATATGTTAAATATGTTAAATCTGAATCTAAACTTAGTTTATATATTAAAAACTTTACTAAAATTTATAGAAATTTATTTAATGGAATAGAACTACTAAAATATATATATTTTTTATTTATCCTTATCCTTATTACTTTAACTTATCTAGTATATATTAATATTTTTCATCTCAAATTTATTTTTTACTATTATATTGTTTATTTTCACTTTCGTTTAATTTTTGGGCAAAAGTATTAGGTTGGCTTTACTCCACTTTTAGTCAAAAAAAATTACAATATAAACAAACTGTAAAATTAATAATTCCTTTGTCACATTTTGATCTTTCTTATTTAAATACTTCTAGACAATATAGATGGTGGAATATTAATGCTCTTGTTAATTATGAATAGAAAACTTTTAAAATGGAATATAGTTCTCTGTGGAGTATATACATTATTTTTTTATATAATTTTGTTATAATGTCAAAAAATTACTAGAAAAAATCTATGATCATAAGAGTTTGCATGATAAATATTTTATTTGAAAGTTTCATAAAAACAAATATTTTAAATGCTTATTAATTTTTTTATTAATTTTTTATTGTTTTATAGATTTTAGTGCAATAGTGTTTCCAACAATAACTTTGATATGGATCAATTTTGGAAGCCCCCCATTATCAATAATTATTATATCTATTCTTTTTCTTGAATATTTTTTCTCCAAATGTTTGAATACTTTGGACCATTTTTTGTATCAATGTTTAAAGTAGTTCGCAATGTTTTATCAATTACTTTAGTTTTAATTATTATAATTATTGCATTTGCACATTCATTATATATTTTGCTAAGACCAAATAGTGAATATTCTTATGATTATCCAAGTTATACTAGTGACCCTAATAATCCTTGGAATCTTGTTACAAGATATCAATCTATTTTACATGATGGTATTATTGAAACAAATTCATCTCTTATTGAAACTCCAGATGGAAATACAAATTTGTTTGCTAATTTTGGTATTGCTTTATTAGCAGTATATTTTATGCTAATTGGTATTATATTAGTTTAATAATTAAGAGGTAGTTCGCCATTAAAGGGTATAAGAATCATATAAGCATCATGGTAAAAATCGGCGGACATTACTTATAAATTTTAATAGTAGCTGGAATCCCAAAAGTTTTTCACTAGGGGTACTATGAAAACTATTTTTTTATTAAGTAACTTTCTTTGACCTTCTAATTAGAGTGGAGAGGAGGTCTTTGCGGTTCTAATGATAGTAAAATCGCTAAAATTGATCCAGCATACCACGAGATACTAACGATTTACCTTTCACGATCATATAAAATTTTCTTTGCCGATTACAAAGAAAATTTCATATGATCGTGAAATGTAAATCATTAATATCTCGTGGTGTACTGGGTCGATTTTAGCGATTTTACCATCATTAAAACCGCATAGACCTCCTCTACAACTTTAATTAGAAGGTCAAAGAAAGTTTACTTAATAAAAAAAAATAGTTTTTATAGTACCCTAGTGAAAAACTTTTGAGATTCCGGCTACTATTAAAATTTATAAGTAATGCCACCGATTTTTACTATGAAATTTATACCCTTTAGTTGCGAACTATCACTTAAATATTTTATATAAACCTAAAATGTACAGTACTAATCATTTAATATTATTAGGTGATACAAGTTCAATTTCACCATGGATTTTGAAAGGAAATTTATTATTAGTTATTTTGTTTATTCTATTTTCATTTTTTACTACAATTATTTAATGAATTTGTTTATTGGATTTCTTACTTCGGCAATGGAAAATATTCATGAAGAATCATATTTACAATTTAGAGGAGAGGTATTTATATAATTTTGTATAATTTTAGAATTTTTATAGAATAATTAATAACAAATAATAATATTATTTTTAGGCAATAACTGAAATGAAACTTTTAAATAAATGGTCGAAACTTTTAATTAAATGTATAAAACTTAAATGTTTGTCCCCTTCACATTCATATAAAAATTCGAAAATAAGTACGTATAAGGGAAGAGTGTGTTTACAATCAACTCTCAAGATTTCATTATAAACTTTTTCAAATTTTTAGCTAAACTTTCACCAAACCAACCTCAAAATTCCAATATTAATCGAAAAATTTTGTAATTATTATTTTTTATAAAATATTCTGTATTTATATGAATTTTATAATTTTTAAAATAAGATTGTTGTATGATATTAATTTATAATTTAAAATTTTATATATTTTTATAATAGATATTATGAAGTTTCAGTTGATGAACTTAAAAAATATATAAAAAAGTAAAAGATAATAATTATAATGAAGATTTTTCGCCACACTTATCCTATGGAATTTTAGAAATTGCAGAATATAAAAACAATGAAACTGAAGATAAAATTGAAATTATTAATAACAAAATTAATAAAATAATAGAATCAATAGAATTAAGTAAAAAGGCTAATTTTTCTAAAATATTTATTTTTACATATTTACGCTTTGCAAATTGTTTACTTTTCTTTTATGTATATTTTATTCTTTATTTTTCTATACTTTCTTGTCTATATTTATTCAATAAAACTGAAATAAGATTTTATTCTTTCTAAATTTATAAAGAAATCATAATATTTAGTCACAATTAGTAAAGTTTCATGTAAACTAGGTATAACCACGTTGGTAACACTCATCCTACTGACACTCATTTTGCAAACATAACATTTAACCGAAAACACTTTGCCAACATGTTTTATTTCACCAACACTTATTTAGCCTACAAGTTTATTTCACCAAAGCTAATTTTATTGACAAAATAATTCTGACATTGTCATTAGGGTCAGGTTGAAATTTGAGTTAATATTAGTCATGGACCTGCGGAATCTGTGATATAATTTAACAGATTATGTTTTTGATATCAGCAAATTCATTAAAAGTACAAATTCATATAAAACAGAAATTCATCTAATAAAAAAAAACCGATTTTTTTCAAACAATTGTTGCACTAAAAAAAAAAGATGTTTAGCACAAAAATATAGCTCATAGTGTTGGATTTCTTTGAACTATAGAAATATAAAATATTTTATTATATTTG